TTTTTTTTTTTTTTTTTTTTTTTTGGTACCGGGGATTGAACTTGGGTCCCTGCGCTTGCAAGGCAGGCAGGGGAACCACTGAGCTAAATCCCCAGCCCTTTGACCCTACTTTTAAATGTTTCACACAGATAACTGATGGTTATTTCAAAAAGACAAAGTGTCATCAATGAATTGTTTTCAGGTATCTGTATCTTGTACCAGCTTAAAAACAAAACCCCAGGAACCATACTACAACATAAAATGTTGGCAAACAGTAAATATCACTTATTTAGGCTTTTTAAAAAATCCTCACACAGCCAGGCCTGTTGGAACCATACACTTGTCCGAGGAAGGGGATGCTGGAAACTTCCCCCAGCTGCTGGCACTGCCCTCCCACGGCAGCCAGGGTGTGCAAATCTATCCCAGCGGGAGAGATCTGGGCCATCTGCCACGTCTCCTGCACCTACCCTCGAGCATCTCCCAAGTATAAAAAGGAAGGAATCACGTATGTAGAACTCTAGAGTTTATCAGAGAGCTGTGAACCTGGCTGGGGAGATCAGACAGGCAGGTGTGCCCACTGTCCAGACTTGAGAGTTCAGCATTGCGAATTCAGCCCGGGTTCAACAGCCTGAGTTATTATTATTACTATGACCCATGGGCAGGTCTGACAGTTCACTATTGAACTTAGGCTGTAACTGGGTCCATATGGGAAGTTCAGAATCAACATGTCTAGTTCCAAATGAATCCTGTGCAGTAGTAGTCTCCAGTCTCCAAAGTAGGACCCAAAAGCCCAGCCTCTCGGTACTCAACTGTGTATAAACCTCTCCTGACATTTATCATGGTCCTGGTCTGTGTGGCCAACAGAGTTTAGGGCAAACGATGGAGCCTGACTTTCTGAAGAAGCCACAAAAGCAACTGTACTATGTAGAGGTCCACAAGGCAAGAAGTGCAGGCTCCTGGCCAGGTACGTGAGGGAGCCATCTTAAGAGCAGGACCTGCTGCCCAGTGACCCTGCAGATGACCTGGCCCTGGTCAGCACTCACAGTAACCTCAGGGAGTCTCCAGAATCACTCCGAGGAACTGCTCCTGAATTCCTGACCAAGATGAATGTGAGATGATAAATGTGAGTTATTTTTCCAAGCCACTAGACTGTGAGGTAATGTTATATTGAGTAATTTGTTCACGTGTGTACTGAGATTGTGCTAAACTTAAAAAGGCCTTAGGGGGAATTAATCTTTTTATTACAGTAAGTCTTCCTAGCCAAGTACATGAACATCTTTTCATTTAAGTCTTTTTTATATCTTTAAATAGTGTTTTAAAGTTTTCTTTACAAAGATTTAAGTAGTTTACCATTTTGTTGCTCTAAAATATGCAACTGTCTTTTAATATACTTTCTAACAAGTTGCTACAGTATATGGAGAGGTAGTTCTTTTATATCCAATCACCTTTCTGGATTCTTTTATTCTGGTGTGGATTTTTAGATGATCATTTGGGATTTTCCAAAATTACATTTGTAAGTCATGAGGCCTCTTTTCTACCTTTATTCTTCCTCACATCTAATTTTGTCAGTCAGTATCTCCATTAACAGTGATGTTTCAATTGAAACAGGATAATGGCTTTTGGCTTAAGAGTGAAAGCTACTAACATGCCAAGAGATATTCACCAATTCTCATTTTACTATCAGTTTTGGTTAAAAAAAAAAAAAGACTTGAATTTTTCTAATACCTTTCCAACAACTATACAAATACCTTCTATATTAACAAAATACATTATGATTTTGATTCAATCATTCATAAAGCATTGTGGGTCTTTATAATATCTTTCTATATCATCCACACGAATGTTTATTTAGAAATTAAAACATGATTATACAAATTAAAATAAAACCATTATACTCTGAAATAAATATGCCAGGAAAACATACCTTTTCCTTTGCCTCTTCTCAAATTTCAATAATACAAAAAAGCTTTTATTATACTGTAAAGTTTCATCCATGATAACTTTATATGGATTAGAGATTCTGTTTTTGTTTTTGGAACCGGGGGTTGAACATGGCACCTTGCGGTTGGGAAGCAGGCAGCAGAACCGCTTGAGCTAAACCCCGACCCTTGATAACTTTATATGGAACTAGCTGGCTCCAAAAGAATGTAACTCGTCATTTCCATCTAGGTAAGTCAATGCAAACTGAATCTGCAAGCAGTTCAAAACAATTATCACTCACCTGCTGCACCTCAAAAGGACCATACGCCTCAGTATTCGCTGCTTGGTGTGACTTCTCAGTCCCAGACACCTGCGGGACAGAACATCTACTACTTACTGCAATTGCTCTAGTGAAATAAGTAACATTTTAAAATATGTCCCCAATTTTTTCAAATTAGATTGTTTCATGCTTTCTATAAATATTTCTATTAGGAAAAGTTATCATTTAGAATTATTTATAACTGAAATGACACTGGTTCATTACTTTTTAAACATGTTCAAAGTTTCCTAGAAAACAGAAACTTCAATGAGGATTTAATGAACTCAGAGCCTACAAAGGCAACTAGAAAGGACTCAATCTGTTCTCTTGCTGCTTGGAAGGAACCCCCTACGGGTCACTCTTATCCCTCCGTCTGGCCTGCTCTTTTAACTCTCATTCCTTCTCTGGTTTGGCAGGAGAGGCCAGAGCTGGGTCACTCGGACTCTCCTTTCTTATTCTCTGGGGAACGGCCAGTCTCCTCCTTCCTCTTCCCTTCCACCTTCCGCCTGTTCCATTCTTGCTGCAGCCACAGGGAGAGTGGCCCTGTGAGCACGGCCTTCCCACATCCTCCTGAGCCTTTACTCGCTCTGAGGTGATGCTGTGGCTCCCCCTGCTGGTGTACAACTTGGGTAGGGAAAAATATTATTTACTGGACCTACTTCTTTCTAGCAAAATTTCCTGTCATACCACCAAAAAGGGGTTCATATATTTAAAATATTTTCAGGCAAAACTTCAGTGAAGTTGTAAAACCAAAAATTTCTAAAGATTTTATTAAGAATATTGACAATGAAAAATTAAAAGGAAAACTTAGCTGCAGTATTAAGATTTTTTTCTCTTTAAACCTTACCTGTATAGCAACCTCCTGTGTACGTGGAATGCTTTCTGCATGGATTCCGCATTTGCCGTCAGAGTTTCCCAAGTGCCCCTTGCTTCCGTGAGACTCACTTGGGTTCCACTGTGACTTTCCAGACACTACCACAGAGTCCTTGGAGATCTGTGTTTCGGAGGCAACAGGTTTACCAGCAGCCTTCTCAGAATTCAAATTGGGATCCCTAAAATACGAAAGACCATTTTTCTTGGCCCTGTCATTGGCTAGAAGAGATGGTACCAGGGGGACGATTGCCCTCTGCCGCTGGTATTCTGAGGAGATGCCGGCCAATGGCGTGTAGATGCTGGTGTACCGGGGCAAGCCTGGCAGCACGTTCATGTACGCGGGTGGAGTCTGGCTGACACCAAATCCCTGGAAAGGGAGGTAGGTACAGAATGTCGTGACGACATGAGACTGAGCCCAATAAGCTGGTGTCACTGCCTTAGACAGTGGTTTGAGAGAATCACAAGAGACCCCTTCAGGCTTCTCGTTTTCAGAAACTGGCCTGGAAGAGCTCTCAGGCCTAGACGTGAGCTTCGTGTCTTCACAGAGAGGACTGGGAGGGTCAGCAGGCACGGGTTTGGGCTCTGCTTCCTCGGCAGCTGGTGCCGAAGCCACATCAGATGCTGGGGCGGGCTGTCCGTCTGGCGGAGATGCTCCAGCAGCTGGACTCGGCGATGGCGACAGCTTAGTTCGCAAATACTCCTCCATTTTTGAAATTTCTTCTGCTTTTGCTTTCATGTTTCTCTTCTTTCTTCTTTTCTTGAGCCGTAACGTAACCTTCCTCAGTGCAATACAGTTGTCAATCACAACAAAACGTGGACATCCTAGGAGAAAAGACTTTAAGCCTCCAGCTTGTTCTACTATCTTTCGGGTTTCTTCTGGGAAAAATTCATATTCTTCAGTGAATATTCTGTTACCCATGTCCACGGGACCTTGTTCCTCCACATACTGAGAGAAATGACTTGGGGAAAAAGAACATTTACTTGAATTAGTATAAAGAAATACTCATACATGTTTGATAAAAATGCTTATTTTCTCAAAGGAAAATACTATTCACTTCTACTGGTCTTAAAGCCCTCCCCAACAACAAAGATAACAACATAATAAACAAAAATGCTTACTCTTGAAAAGTAATCTTAAAAACTATTTTGGGGGGAAAAAGCAAAAGAGAATCAACAAGTTATTTTATAAGCCAGGTGGTATGAATCTGTAATCCCAGCACTCCAGGAGGCTGAGGAAAGAAGATGCAAGTTTGAGCCCAGCCCTGCAACTCAGGGACCCTGTCTCAAAATAAAAATAAAAAAGGCCTGGGGATGAACCTCAGCACAAAGGCCCAAGGTTCAATCCCCAGTACTGCCAAAAGCAAAAGTCAAACAAGAAAGTTTATTCAGGACTCCACCCCCTCAAGAATGTCAAAGAGGAAAATGTTAAATGAGAAGAAATGAAGTGTTAAAAATCCTATTTCGATTTGCATACAGTGAATCTATCTATTAAAATTTTTCTGACTATAAACATGCAGCAGTTCAGAGGAACTGAAATCAATCCTATCCAATTAGATCAATAAACGAATATAGTCTAAGACCCAGCTCCACAGGAAGGGGGCCGCTCCCTTAATCTGACTCTGGTTCTGGACTGGGCTGCTCCTCTCGTTTCCGGGTCCATTTTCTCTCCCCATTCTTGCACCAGGCGCAGAGAGGCAGTCTAGCTGGGCCACGGAGACCATCTTTCCAACAGCAAGTCTTAGTAAGTTAATGCCACCAAGGAGAACAAATTACTTAGCAAGAAAGTTAAAAATGACACTTTCTTGAAGAAAACTTTTGCGCAGTTGCCACCACAGATAAATGCACAGGACAAAATGATTAACCTCTATTCACAGCAACTGCTACTCTGCTGAAAACCAAACGCCTCTTCTCTCATCAGCTCTGCTGCTCTAAATACTCAGAAATGACCTCGAGTCTATTTTCATATTTTATGATGTTTATCTCATCTCCTCCAAGTACGGCATCTACTGCTGAAACTCCACTATATATGTGTTCTTTCCGAAGGTGCGGTTAAAATGATTTTAAGATTCATTCCCACCAAATTTCACTCTCACAGAGAAACTCTCAAAGCAGAAAGGACTGAGGGAGAGGAAGGTAAAAAGAAATCGCAGAGCCAGGGATGTAGCTCAGTGGCACAGCACCCGCCTGGCAAGTGCAAGGTCCTGAGTTTGATCCCTGGAAATCGCTGTAGTCTATGGAACGTCCTTGCTGAGGACCCTGCTGACTGGTCTGGGTAACAGAGGCCCCACCATCTGTCCCCAGAGAGGCCTTACACCAGTGGATCCTAAGCTGCTATCAAGACACAGCAGAGGAACTGATGAAGGGGAATGGGATTTACTCTTTTTGAAAAATTAAAAGCATTTGTCAGTCTGTACAGTTTTGTTCTCCATAATGAATACTAAAGAGCAATGTTGAAAAATAAAACTTTTCGATCTGGACTAAAACAACTGAATTTGACATGTGCTCACTAAAGCACAGAGACTATGTGAAAGGAAATCACTCTCAGTGAGGCGGTGACACGGCACCAATCAGTAGGCAGGACCAACAGTACGAAGGCTCACTCTGAGCAGCTGCCGATTACCCCGCATCAGGAAGTCACTAGGAAGTCACGTTCCCGAAGAATATTTAAAAGGATATGAAAAAGATACACATACTGTCAGGTTAAAAAAGGCAAATGACAAGACCAAATAGGTCATAAAATCACAGCTTGTAAATTTTTATAAAATGTTTTGCATTTTAAATCTGAAAGAAAACACATCAAAAGTTAACTGTGGTTATATCTAGGTGGTAGAATTATTGATAATTTTTAATCTTTCTTTTTAATATTTTATTTTTAAAAATTTCTATTTGGCTTAGTTTTATAATCAGAAAAAATTTTTATTTAAAGAAAGACAGCTTCCACTATTTCTACTGCTAAGTAGCAATGAACTTGTCATACACTGAGAATAAAAAAAAATTTTTTTGGTACCAGGGATCAAACTTGGGATACCTTGCGCTTACGAGGCAGGTGGTGAAACCACTAAGCTAAATCCCCAGCCCCCACTGAGAATAAAATTTAACTCAACAAAGACTCTAGTCTAAAAACAAGTGTTACTATAACTATATTGCGAAGAAAAAAAAATTTTTTTTTTATTTTTTGAGAGCGAGAGAATCTCAATGTGCAGTTCAGGCTGGCCTTGAAATGGCTGCGATCCTCCTGCCTCAACCTCCTGGGTGCTAGGATTACAGACGTGTGCTACCATGACAAGTGAGAAAAATTTTATAGTTACCATTTGAAGTACAACAGAAAATGAATTTTAGCTGTATTGTTTAGACTTTTCTAGGCTTAAAAGTAGCCCCAGAAAAGTGTACACTGGATGCAAAATAGCATACATGTGATTTCTTCATCATCCAGTGTTCAGGGTTTACAGTGTCACCGCAGTGCACACTGGTGCTGGTGCAGTTGGTTAGCAGACGGGAAAGAAGCTAAGCCTCCACCAGAAGAAGCAAGACACAACTGAGGCGCCAAGCAACAATTCGTTTGCTGCCATGTTTGGAAATTTACCTTCTCTTTCATGATCCAGCCCCTTCAAAGTACTGGACTCTAAAAGGTCAGTACCCTACACTTAATCTATAGCAAAGGAATAGGCTCACTGGAGGTAACAGGAGCAAAACACAATGCAGCTAACGACACCAAAGGCACTAACAGTGGTCGTGTAAAGTGGGAGTGTTTCTGTGCGTGGAAATAATCGTCAGTTTGGTGAGGACACACAGTGCTGTGACTGTCACCAGAGGGTGGGAAGGGCATCTCGAAAGGCACTCCCGCATGGTGATACTTGGCATGTTCCTTGGCAACCACGGTTTTTGTGCATGCTCATGGTCCTTACTTTGGAAGGTTGGTCTTATCTGCAATCCAGTGAGCCTACATCAGCTGAGCTCTCCTGCAATGCTTCGGGCTGCGTGGATCCAGCCATGTACCTAACGTGACGTGGTTAACTGATCTCAGCTAATAGCGAAGTGGTGTAAAGAAAAATTCAATGCAAAATAATGTGCTTCAGCTCTCTATATCATAAAATGTTAGAACTGGAAGGGGTCACTGAAAAGAAATCAGGCACACCCGCTTTTTCAAAGTGAAAAGCTACAGTCCAGAGAGAGTTAATCTGTCGCATGAGTTACCCCTGTGATCCTGATAGCCTGTCCACTGTTTGTTTTTGGTACCAGGGATTGAACTCAGGACCTTGTGCTCGTGAGGCAGGTGGAAGAACCACTGAGCTAAATCCCCAGCCCTGTCCAGTGTTGTTCTATTCCATCTCTTCACATTGGAAAGTTCAGTCTCAGGCTTCTTACACATGGACAAATAAAACACATCACCAGGGCCGGGGATTTAGCTCAGTGGTTCTGCTGCCTTCCTTGCAAGTGCAAGGTCATGAGTTCGATCCCTAGTACCCACCCGCCAAATCACCATTTTTAAGCTGTCATATGAAATTCAAAGAAATATTTTTCTGGGCATGGTGGAGTACACCTGCTATCCCAGCACTCTGGGGAGCTGAGGCAGAAGAATTGCAATTTTGAGTCCAGTAGCAAAATGCTGTCTCAAAAGGCAGCAATCGTCCTGCCTCAAAAAGGCTTAAAACACAAACTAAAACAAAACAGATGTCACTGTAGTTCAAGCTGGCCTTGCATTCACTATGTAGTCCCGGCTGGCTTTGAACTATGGTGATTGATCCTTCTGCTTTAGCTATCTGAGTGGTAGGATTACAGGTATGTAGCAGCATGCTCAGCCAAAACTTTTTAAAAAGTGCTGAGGACATAGTGTCAGGGCCTTATGTTCAATCTCTAGTACCACAAAACAAAATAAAAAATTGTTTTGAGATGTAACTTCCTGTAACTTCTTGGTTTTCTACTATTGTAAGTTATATAAGATATATATATATATATATATGTATGTATATGTATGTGTGTGTGTGTATTATTTCTTTT